TTTTGTTTTCTCCAAAACTATAGTGGGCTTAGTAAATTTCAAACCAAAAAGCTCATGCAAGCACAATAAACTCCTAATAACCAGCTTTAAGCTCTTACTTTTAATTATATATTGCATCTGTTTGTTTTTCTCTTTTTCTCTCTATTATTCTTTTTTATTTTATTCTTTCTACACTAGACACAAGCTGTTGGTTGCTGGATAGTTTTTTCTTTATTCACTAGACGCAAGTTGTCGATCGTCTGTCCTTAAGGGAAATGGTGAGAAGAGAGAGAGATAGAAAAAAAAAAGAGGAAAAAAAGGGAAAGAAGAGAAGAAAAGAAAAGAAATAAAAGCAATATATAATTATATACAAAGGCTTAGAGTTGATGGCAATGAGCTTGTTGTATTTGCATGAGGTCATCTTCAATCCTTAAGGGAAAAAATGAGAAGAGAGAGAAAAAAAAAAGAAAGAAAAAGAGAAAAGAAAAGAAACAAAAGTAATATATAATTATGGTTAGATGAGAGAGAAAAAAGAGAAAAAAAAATAAGAAAGAAAAGAAGAAAATAAACAAAAGTAATATACAACTAAATATAAGAGTTTAGAATTGGTGATAAAGAGCTTGTTGTATTTGCATAAAGTCATGAGTTCGAAACTTAATAAGTACATAATATTTCCCTTGTACTTATTAAGTTATCTCAAAGACCTATGACTTCATATAAGCACAACAAACTCCTTTATCACTAAGTTTAAGCTTTTACTTTTGATTATATATTACTTTTGTTTCTTTTTTTTCTTTCCTTTCCTTTTTTTTTTCAATCTATCACTTATTTTTTGATGAGATATTTGATTATATATTGCTTTTGTTTCTTTTCTTCTTTTCCTTCCTTTTTTTTCATCGTTTTTTTTTCTTTTTTCATCTGTCACGATCATCAAACGCAAAGTGTCGGTCATCAATTCGTAAAGAAAAAGGTATGCAAGTACAACAAATTCCTTACCACTAGCTCTATGCTTTTACATTAGATTATATATTGCTTTTATTTCTTTTAGTAAGAGGAGACATTTGATTATATATTATTTTTTTCTTTTTTTTAAGAGACATTTGATTATATATTGCATTTATTTTTTTTCTTTTTTTTCTTTCTTATTTTTTTCTTTTTTTCATCGATCACGGTTATTGGATGTAGGTTGTTAGTTGTTGATCTTTAACGGAGAAGGTAAGAAGAGAGAGAAAGAAAAAAAAAGAAAGAAAATGAGGGAAAGAAAGAGAAAAAAAAATAAAAACAAATAAGAGGGAAGAGAAAAAAACAAACAAAAATAATATATAATTAAAAGTATAGGTTTAGACCAGATGGCTGAGAGCTTGTTGTGCTTGCATGAGGATTGGGTTCGACCTTAGTAAGCTCACAAACAAGGAAGAGACACAAGATGCATTCTTGACACGCCACGTGTCACTCTTTTGTAATGTCACATGGCGTCCTTTGGACATGCCACATAACATATCCACATCAACATGTCAAAGTGATGTGACACTTTCACATCAGCATTTCCAGTTTACCTCACGTGCCACATCGGCAACCTTAAGCTATTAATTGGTGATTGGGACGTCTCGAGATTTTGAACTAGATGAACAAATAAAATCAGATTGAGGAGGCAACATGATGTTTTTAATTCTACATTCATGCCATACTTAATATTTTGGTGTAACCTTAACAATCTACTAGCTTGTTTCCATGCCTTAACAATCTTCTTAACTTTCTTTGACGACTTTGGCTCGCCATAAGAAAACTCAATTTGATCAAGTTTATGAATCATTCGAACAAATTATTCAAACCTGATTTGTCTCCATTTTTTATAAATAGGGCAAAACTAATTGCTGCTCATAATCCCAATAGAGGAATTAACATCTTAGTTCCACAGCTATACGACATTGGTTGAAGCACTATCCATGGTGCTTTCCATATCACTTGTTGTCTCGTGAGGCTTCGTAGTCTTAAGATATGTTCTTTTTTTGGATTTTGGTTTTGGCTATTCACTTTCACAAAATTCTTTGATAGGAATACTAATGGAGAGATATGGTGCCCGGAGCTAACTTTTTTCACATTCGAAATGGCTTTTAATCCACACAAGCAATAAATGTGCACATCTAATCAAACGCCTTTTTTTTCATTACATTAACAATAGCTCAGTGATCTAAAGGTTTGCTAATAATGGATTAATTTTATTTTCAACTTGTTGAAGAAATCCACTATTGCTACCTTGATATATCCCAAAACCTTTGGAAAGATAACCATCCCATAGATTGTTAATGCCATAATACTCATGCTTATTTCATCTTCTAAATGCTTTATGATGCCACTATGAATAAACTCCCATTGAATATAAACATTATCTCCTTTTTGTTTAACTTTCATGTCAACTTCTTGCAAACTGATTCTCATGATTTTTGCAATCTTTTTGTGATAGCCTATTTTTTTGTTATCTCAAGTAATTCTTGTATGCAATTGGAAGGTGTATACAAAGTAAAGTTGAGTATTATTCAATTGATGGCTTCATATTCATTTCATTGAAGACAAAACATATGCATAAGAGATCTTAAAATTGAATGATGGCTCTAATCATTTGGTCATCAATAAGTATGCGAAAGAGTGATGCAATATGCCCATACTTCTTCTCAAATTCATGTTGTTTAGATGCTCCCCAATGATCCCAAATGTTGATAAAATATGTGAGGTCATTCTTTTAGAGATCAATATGAACTTGCTCAAGAAGGTTAGAGACATATCCCTCTTTCAAACAATCACCCTTTACATGTTAGATCTGTTCTGATCAAGTCTTAACATTCAAGTCATCTTCACATATGACTGGAGTGGATATGAAGTGAAGTAGTCGCTTCGTGGATGTACTTGGGGTATGTTTTACCATACTTTGTTACATAACAAATACCTTTGTGTGAAAAATGATGTTAATGTGTAATCATGAAACAATCATAATACAAGGTTCAATAGGTATTTACATGGTAAAAAGCATCCTTTCATGTGTACTTACATGGTTGTTCTTTAATGGGTTTGGAAGGCTCTACCTAGGCTTTGTTCTTTATTGTTTTCTATATGCTAGGCATAGTTTTACACTAAGCTAATAATTTCCAAATTGCTCCTTATTGTCATCCACTTAAGACTAGTAAGACACCTTAATCCTCACCTATTACAAGCTTCCAACTGAAAGGATTCAATTTGAGTGGAAGTATTTCACGTGCTCACACAAAAGTCATCACCTCATGGGAGTAAAGTACTCTACTTCCTCCAAAATAGGATAGAGCTTGGGTATAAAGCTTATGCATGTATGCAAAAATGTAGTGTTTGTGCAAAGAGATGTACAAAAATTTTTATCATCTATAAGTAATTAAAAATAAAAATAGTAAATATTTGTAATTATTTTAAAAAATATATTTTAAATGGAATTTTAAAGGGAAGTTGCAAAGGGCAATTTATCTTAAAATTTTCATAGTAAAAATAATTATGAGACCTTACCATAAGGGTTGGGGGTAATCCTATAGATATTTTTTACCAAAAAGGTTCATTTATAAATAATTAATAAGAACATGGATAAATAAATATTTTAGATTTTATAAATATAATATCATAATGAATATTTAATATAAAATAAATGAAAGTCCTCAGATGATGGAATTTCAAGGATGTTATAAGGGATAACTTTCTTGAAAATTTTTAGGTGAGAAAATCTTTTTAAATTTTTCCAAAAAAGTAGGAGAATTTAGGAAGAATTTTCAATATTAAAGGATATTTTATTTTTTAAAAATAATAATAAATTGAATAAATAATTAAGGGAAATAAACCAAGATATCGAAACAAAATTAATTGAAGTAATTTTGGAAGAAAAATACTATAGGGATCAAATAGAAGTAATTTTCAAAATTAAAAGATTAAATTGTTACGATTTTAAATAAAAGAAATAAATTAAAGAGAATACACGAATACAAAGAACGTCGAGATATTTTGACCTTTTTATTAATAACTAGATCAATGATTGTTAATGATGATAATGCGTTGTAAACAATTTATATAAAATATGTCAAATACATGCATATAAGTTGCTTTGTTTGATTTTATTTAATTAGATTCAATTTTACCTAACATGTTTGGATTAGTTAGATCCAATTTTGAACTCATATTGCCTATTCTTTTTTTTTTCTTTCCTATTTCCAATATTCAATTTGTTGCCTAACTCTTATTACCTGCCCTTAATATTATACTCTTTGATGATTTTAAGGAATAAGCCTAAGCATCAACAACTTTTTAAAGTGGTCAAGATAATATAAGATAACATGCATTTTTGAGTTGTTTATATTATCTTGAAAATAAAATTAAACAAGAAAATATACCCGTAAAATCAAATAATTGAATTAAATAAAATTTTTCGACTCATTTATAAAACGAATGAAATAGAAAATGATCAATTAGTGAATGTATATATATACATATATATATTAATAGAGATATCAATAAGTAAAGTACTTGTTACTTTTTAATATTTTAACTCAAATTCTATTATTTAATAGAATATTTGAACCATCTAATTAAAATATTGAATTAATACCCAAATCACCCAATTAAAATAATCAATACGGATGTTCTTTGAATATGTTGATATATTTCTCCTATTTTTTCCCTGTATTAACTATAATCTTGTTTTTTTCTTTTTCTATTTCCTATTGAAAAACAGTTAGTCGACACATACATACATACTACATAATTATTCAGAGTTGAGTTTTTTGGATCATTGGATTAAAAAAATTAGATTTCTTGGATTTTTTTAATTAAAAGAAAATTTAATCAAGAGCAATGTGATAAGTGTAATGTTAGATATTATGTTTTGACATATGTAGTGGTACATTTGTAAATATTTTAAATATTTAAGGTTATTATTGTTTTTTGATTTTACACAAAGACTTGACTATAAAAGCCTGCAGTAGTAGCAATGTTTGCTTTTGGCAAGAAAATAAACAATCAGAGCTTTACTCATCTCTTAACTTCCTCTGGATTTTTCCCGATTCTTCATCTTTTTCTCAATACTCAACAAGTACTACAACTACCAGTTTTGCATATATATGTACCTGCAATCATAGCTGATATCATTCAAAGGGATTTGAAGAGCAGAAAATGGAGCTGGGTTTTCTTCTGCACGCCTTAATTCCGTCCTGGAACTCTGTAAGCAACTCTTTTCTATCTAGAAATTCTTGTTTGTTTCCCTTGAAAAGCTTCTTTTGCTGTGCAACCATTTACTGGGGGACCAAATATGGTACTAGTACACAAGCCTAAACTAATGATCGGTTTTCGGTTGGTTTATAGGTTGGTATATTGGCCATATATCTCGCCTACATTGCGATTGCTTCATTTATATTACCTGCAAAAGTTGTTCCTGGAATGATCATGCAGGATGGCACTCGTCTTCATTATCGCTGCAATGGTCTCCTTCATGTTTATGGAATTTCTATTTCTGCAGTTGGTGTAATACATTTGTTTACTATAATATGATTCACTTTATTTGTTTTTGATTAATTTCAGGGTTGTTAACTCTACTTTCGTTAATTGGCCTTCTTGGGCTTGGTTCTAAAATGAATTTAGTATCACCCACGGTATGTATGTGTGCTGAGATAAAATTCCAAAGTATCAGTTGTTTTGTGCTCACAAATATGTCTCTGAAGTCTTAATTCTGATGAAAATGTTTGCAGCTGATATCAGACAGAGGACTGGAGCTGCTATCAGCATCTTTTATATTCAGTTTTCCTTTAAGTTGGGAGGAAATTGCTTTTATTGACGTTTGCTTATGAGAGCTTGCTTATAACTATGATTATTCCTTTGTTTCAGGTAGCTACAGCTCTCTACATTGCTGGCTGCAGGTGCAGCAGTCAAGCTTCCTCGTTAAAGCCTAATTTAACAGGAGACTTAATACTTGACTGCTATGCACTGTTCCATTGTTGTTGACTTTGATCCAAGTCAACAGTTCTAGTTTTTTCCCTTGACTATGCTGCTTATCTTTATAGTTTTGCCTTTTTGTTATGTTATAGGTATATGGGAGTACAGCTAAATCCTCATTTTATGGGTATTGATCTCAAGTATGTAATTCACTCTCAACAATTTACTGGGCATGCTTTCTGCTTCATAGAACATAGCATCTGTGTTTCTAATGGATGATGGATCATTTCTGTAGATTCTTCTTTCTTAGAGCTGGGATGATGGGATGGATACTCATCAATCTATCAAATCTAGCAAAAAGTGTCCAAACTGGCACCTTGAGTCTGTCAATGATCCTCTACCAACTATTCTGTCTGGTAAGAAATAATGTTCAGGTGGTGATTCTGGTTGGATCCCATGTCGCTAGCCATGCCTTTCATATCAATGCCAAGCTACCCTATTTCCTCATCTGGTGATTGATGCTGAGTTGCCCTTTTTCTCACCATCTTTATTCCAGATACATGTTATGGAAGTTTTGTATCATGAGGAGCAGTTGACCTCCAAGTAAGTGCCAAGTACCTCATCTCTAGTATAATAATCATTAACCTCATTCTTAATTGATACTCGGCCTTTTCAACTGGGGCTACAACAATTTGTGGTTATCTGTTACCAGCTGGGACATAATGGTTGAGAGATTGGGCTTCATGTTGGTGGGTGGATTTCTGGTCTGGGCTGCTTTCATGGGTACCATCCAGGCAAGCACCCAATGACTTTAAAACAAATTTCCTGGTAATATGCAGTGTGTCCACAGTCTCAAAAGAGTCATTGAATCACGTATCAACGGTCTATTAGAATATGATTTGATATTTAAGTATTTATATTGTCTTCAATCTGTAAAATGTTTTTTATGAGACAATTATAAAACCCAATGATATAAAATAGATAATATCTTACAAATTGACGTGAATTGTGACACAGTGCATATTTATTCCTATGCTATTGATCAATATGACTGCAATCAATGGTTGGTATCAGACAACATATAATTTTACGTCCCAATCTGATGTGGTAATATACTGTGACTTCTACTCATACTGGTGGGATACTTTGTAAGTAAAATCATGAGACTCTTCGGGTGAAAACGAATTTAATACCTTGTAGTTAGGTTGGGTTAGGTTTCTACACAAAGTCTAAAATATAGTAGTCATATGGTAATATTTATCAGTCTCCAATGCATGAATGCTGCAGTCAATTAGATTTGACTCGTCAAAGCTTTTCAAGTTTTGCATTGAGAGAATGCAATAACAATGCAGTAGAGTCAGCCATTGGCATAATTACTAATTGATTCACACAAAAGAACCAGCTGACTTGAGAGATTTTGAGCACAATGAATCAAGAAGGGCAGAGAAGCATATGAATGCAGATTTTATTTTTGTAAATTGTTCATCTTCACCTTTGCCATAGGGTTGGTGGCTTTTGCATAACCGAGTGGAGTTATCAAGAGCAGCTGCAATAGCAACTTGCTTAATCTATCTGATTGGGTAAGTCTTTACCAGTGTATAGGATTAGCAAAGAATTAACTGATTAATTCATCCATTTTGTTATTCTGAGCATTTGACTCATTGATCAGTGCATGATTTCCTTTCTTAAAAAAAACATCTATTCTGCTACATTATTCTTTTTCCTTAAAAGAAAAAAAAATTTTGGCAGGGTTCTTGGATATAGAGGAGCCAATAAGCAAAAGCATACATTCAAAAAGAATCCTAAAGCACTTATATGGGGCAAGCCTCCAAAGGTAATTGGGGGAAAGTTGCTAGCTTCAGGCTATTGGTAAGATTTTCCTATCTTATCGTCTTCCTTAATTCTTTTAATATAGCCTCAGATGATAACCATTATCAGACAAAGAACTATCTTATATACTGTGACTGTAAATTTGCTTAATGCTTAATCTCATTCTAATTTTATTACCTTGGTCAAGGGGAATTGCAAGGCACTATAACTACTTTGGGGATTTCTTGCTATCACTTTCCTTCAGTCTGACTTGTGGCATAAGGTAATCCTTCCCACAATTACATCTTATTTGTAGTAATTTGAACAAGTTCCTGATGGGAAATTCAATCCTTTGGCAGTTCTCCAATTCCATACATCTACCCCATTTGTCTGGTGTTTTTTTTCGTGTCAAGGGAAAGAAGAGATGAAGCTCGGTGTGCTGAAAAGTACAAAGAAATATGGGCAGAATACTTTAAAGTTGTCCCTTGGAGAATAAAACCATACTTGTATTAGTCACCAAATGTTGCAGCTGCTGGAAACTTAAGGTTCCGTGTCAGTTAAAATTCTATTACGCAAGTATACGTATTAAATAGATAGTATATTAACAAGCAGAGTATCGATCCCACA